GTGTCAATTGGGGAGGCATAAATTAGTATAGGAAATTTTAGCGTCTTCTTTGTGAAAAAAGCACATTGATTTGCAAATTCTTTCAAAAATCAAATAATTGTCGTATTTTAATGAAATTTTCAGGACTTATACACAAACGAATTAAATTATTTTAGATTTTATTTTTATCTTTTTCAGAAAATCTTTGTAAAAATATATATACATATATTTTTACATCTTTTACCAACTCTACACTTATTTAATTGTAAGAAATTTCGAGAAATTTAATTTTGACCCTCTTAATGTTTATATTAGTAAAAAGCAAAACTCCTTGGAGGATTTAAATCATTTTTTTTTTTGTAAAACACTATTTACCGAAAATCTGCTCTGAATCAAATGCAATAAAACTAAGACATTATTTAATTAGAAAAGCTTTTGATTCCTTTGAGAAATAAGATATATTAAGGAAACTATTATCTTAAAAAATATATTTGCGATGAATAATGAATTTTTACAAGAATTGTTTCATTTTTTTTTTAAATTTTAATTACAATAATTTATAAAGTTTAAAAATCTTTAAAATTTTTGCATTACTTTGATCCTGTTATGTGATAGTTTTTAAGTAAAAACTATATTTACTAACCATAAATGGACAAGCTTAGTTAAACATTATTTTTTTTACAGATGAAGCCACCGTAGAAAAAAATTAGATAAACATCCATCTGTTAACAAGCTGTCAACATCTCAAATAAACAGCTACCGCCTTGTTAAAAATAATGCATTTCTGCGATATTTTAAACTTAAAGTAAATAATATTTATTTAAAATTAGATTAATTATACTTTAAATCAGATAATATTCTTCAAATTTCAGAAAAGTATATTTTATTTTTGGAAGATTTTTAATAAATATTACATTGCAATAAAAAGATTACATTGCAATAAACGAGTGCTAAAAACGGCACTGAAATAAGATTTTTAGCAAAAATAAGTCAATTTAAATCAACTTTTGAAATATAGCAAAGTATTTAGCTTCTTGGAATTATTAAATTTAATCTATTAGCTTGAAATTAAAACTAATATAAAAGCTTCAAGAAAGATTTTTCATTATTAAAATTTCATTTTAAACCTGACGTATCACGTTTTTGTTACCGATATACAGACAAAAGGAAAACTTATCTTAGCCAACGCATTTCATACCCTGATAGATTTTATCAAAGCAAATGGAAGTATTTTTATTTTGCAACGAGTATTTATAAACAAAAGTAAATATCTTTTCTTACGCTCATGCAACCCCACACAATAATTCTATACCTTGACTGGTTGTTTGTATTGGGTTAACATAAAAAATGTTCAGTTAAGGTTAGATTACGACCAAAAACTAATTTTTAGCTTCCGTATCTATTTTTGAAAACATTCAGTGATGGAGAGGGGTCTGAAAAAACATTTGTGGCATCAAGAGGTATGGCAGGTGAAAAGGTTTAAACACCTGTTTTAGATGATTAGTTGTTTTTCAAAATGACCGTTTAGTATTGATTCTTATAAGTAATTGACGTGCGAAACATTTGTCACATCATATGCCTGTAGCGAATGAAAACAAAATGAATGAACGAATTTCGCGAACAAAAACATTTTAGTGTTTTAACATTAATGTGCAGTTTTGAACTTTACAGGCCTCCTCTGACATATGTCGCAAATCCCGAATTCGTTTAATCAGGCCATAGATAAGCATTCAGATATTTTTTTAAATTAATATCTTGCTACAAAGCAAAGATTAAACGTAGCTGAAAAGTGTTCCCAAGAAAATAACGAACGCTTATGACTCTCTCCCTCTCTGAAATACCCCCCACTTTCTACACGTAATTTATGTTCATTTAGCTTTTATCCTCAACAGTTCGTGGCACGAGTCGCAAACCTCTTAGTGAGTAGCATTTGCCGCAGTCACTACTTCCAGCTTTTCTGTTGTATGAAAGGTTTTTGGGTTTTTTTTTTTACAATGTGACAAAATGAAGATTGTGTTATTATCGTTGGACACATAGGGCCATTTCTTCTTGGCCTTTCGATTCTCTCGTATTCTGCTGCATCTGTTACGCTTTTTATTGATTCATGTAATGTGGATTTTTTTAACGTCTGAACTTTTTATCAGATAATGTCCGTACGTAATAACTGGTAAGGTCATTTCACATTGTATTCAACAAGACATATTGTTCTCTCATTAATTTAAGTACAGTTACGCCAATTGTTCGCAAGGTTGACGTGGTATTTGGTGATAGGTTGATCTGCCAACTTTAGAAGCAACGGGTGGAATTGAAAGGCCAGGGAAATAGTAAAAAGTGGACAAAAAAGTGGACAAAATCAGAGTAGTTCGGGACCTGGAAGAACTGATTATAAGAAAAAAAAAATTCTCACATGAGTTAGATCAATCGTAGTCGAGAAGAGTCCGGAGGTCGTACTTAGCAATTTGAGCGCAAATCCCATCGGAAACAAAGAGGTTAATCAAATCAAAAATTGCATTTGGTGTTTGTGCCAATGTTATAGGAATTGGGCAAGTGGTTCAATTGTAGAAATAATGAAGAAGGTCACACGGGAAAGATGCAATGAACGAAATAACGCGAGATTTCACACTTTCTAAAAATTCATTTTAAGTTTTTTGTTGTCAGTTTGTTCTGAAAGCACAAAAGTGAACGGGTGTCCTCAGCGGCCAGTTACGCCACCATTGCATCGACTGTTTCACTTTCTCGATAAGCATGTCCTCAGCGGCCAGTTGACGCCATCATAGCATCGACTGTTTCACTTTCTCGATAAGCGTGTCCTCAGCGGCCAGTTGACGCCATCATAGCATCGACTGTTTCACTTTCTCGATAATCGTGTCCTATTAAAAAGGATTGGGTTCCAATAAATACTTTTGTCTCGTGGACGTAGGTTTTTCTCCGTCTTTGCTTTACTTTTAAAATCCTTTTTACGCTTTTTACCTAAAATGGATATCTATCTCTATATATATATATACACATTTGCATCCTGGGAGTACCCCAGCCTCGTTGGTACAGATATCACCAAAAAGTTAATAAACTGATTATTGCACCAGCTTGACACCATGATGGAAAACCTTCACCAAAAAGGAATAAACGAAACCTTTAGCAGACTCTTCATGTCTATTGTTGTGTTGGTTAAAAAGAAGAAATTGCTCCCTTAGGTGTTGAATGGACTACAAGGCACTGGGTGATGCCACTGTCAGAAAGTCCTATCCTCTACCAAGAAATAGCGGGAGTTTTTCACATTTCCAATGCTCCAAACTAAGTTCAAACGCTTGATAAAAATGAATGTTGGAGGCGTTGCAATGGAGGAGAGCTTTATATCGCGGCCTTTGGTCAGACTTGAGCAAAAACTGGAGATGATGTCGTAGGTCTTAAACCGGTTTAGAGTAACAAATCTCAAGCTGTTCTAGAAAGAGGTCCAGTTCCTGGGTCACATAGGCGAGGGAAATGTGCTCACTCACCTAGATGTGATTATGTCCAAGAATTGGCAAATAGCAATCGGCGAGAAGGAATTTCAAAATTTCCTGGGCTTATGTTCCTATTACCACCGATGTTATTTCGAGAAATTTAAAGGAGATTTTATGAATACCAGTCTTTGCCCATCTTGGCAAATCCAAGTTCATTTTTCTTGGATTCCGATGCCAGAAAATATGGTATTAGTAGTACATCCATACAACTTCACACAGACACAGAAATAGTGATGGGATACTTTAATAGTAAGCTAACACTGGCAAAATTACTAGTCATATTTTTAACCCGATTTGTACGGCTCAACCTCTACTATCCAGTTTTTTCCTGAGGCGATGAGGTTGTTAAAGAACCCAGAGAACCAATTGACATGCTAATTAGGAAAATTCGAGCAGTGTCGGTCAGGACTGACACTTAGTAATTGGGTTCTAGCACTTGTCAGAAAGAGAGGATCTAGCTGTGACAAGACTGCAACAGGAGGATCACGATCTACGACCTATTGTGGAGTTCATGGACTAAGCCTCTAAAAGATGTAGCACCACCGAGTTACTCCTACTGCAGTGTAAACATACAATGACCTCACCACCGACCGATCAATTATTACCCCCACGTTGCATTTCGATTCTCGATCTCGTTGGTGTGCACCGAAAGCTGGGTAAGGGCTCGTTGCATGTTCACAAGGTAACGAGATGAACCACAAACGCTACGTCGAGTAATATTATAAAATAGATGTTTTATCCAGGGGTTCGCCTAACTTGGTAGGTGACACTGGATAACTTCTGCTGTGTGGATCTGCTCCCCCTACCAAGTCATCACTCATCTACACATCCCGACGTGTAGCTGACAATATGAATAGGTGGCATCGAGACCACGCGACAGGCAAGTTCCTATCTTGCCAAGGGCGAACCAGAGCTGATTCTCCCGCATGACAATACAGCCCAGCACTCGGAAAATGTCTGGTTTGTTGTTGTAACAGAGAGAGGTACACACACACACACACACACATGAATGCACACACGCAAATATAACTTTTATTGACTGGAAGTGGAAATGGTGTTTATATATCAAAGTACAATTCGGGTTAAAATGTGTGTTTACCGATGAGGAATACGATCTCAGGGCAGGAGGCGATGTTTTAAATCTGTGTCACTAGTAAACAACGGGGATGGGCGAGGTACTTGGTTTGTTTAACAGTATTTGTTTTAATTAAAAGGTTGAATCAATGTCTAGATATCCCAAAGTATAATTTTGGTGAAGCGAGAACTCGTAATTGAGATAAGGTAAATAATTGGAGAATAGGTTTACATGTCAAGGGATAGTTTTTGGTACTCATGATAATCGCGTGCCGGGCCAAGGGTCGATTCATGATCAACCAGATTTATCTATATAAACGCATAGTTATGCTGAAGAAGAGGAGACGGTCGAGCGAGACAGAAGAGGCCAGATCGGTCGGCACGTCGTCGTCGCTGCGTGCCGTCACTTGCGTGGGCACCCGCAGGAGACCGTTACGGGTCGCGGTGCTACAGGTCAGATGGAAGAGAGAGACGAGAGAGACCGCGATCGGTCGGCACATCATCGTCGCGTGTGTAGGCGACCGTTACGGGTCGTAGTGCTACAAGCCAGACGGAAGAGACAGAGAGTGGTTGGCTGGTCTGCCGTTGAGTGCAGATGGAAGAGAGAGAGAAGACTAACCCCTGCTCTGAGAAGTCTGTCAAATACAAGTATACAAGAATTCAAAAAACTTGACAACGTATACTTGTATTTTGATTGGTCATTCCAGCTTATGTAACAGCGTTTCCCCTTGCGAGGGGTGGTTAATTAATTTGAACCTTTTAAAACCCTTTATTCTACATTCAACATCATCACTTGATAAGACACCAGAGGTGTTGAAACAGAATGGCTATTTTTGTAGTGATTTCAAAACAGCACCTGCTACGGCTTGAATCAGCACTGTGATTAATATGACATTCAATCTTCCACTGCTCTGAGATCAAGAAAACATTGTGAGCAGAATTGGTGTTGATCAAAGTGGCCAACAACTAACAACCAGCTTAGGCCAGTGTCAGTATTGACCAGTGCAGAGTTAGCCCCGTGATTAAAACGTTGTCCTAAGACTCCGAGGACTGGATCAATAAACATGGTTACATCACCAGGTGTAGGCAGCAAAAGGTTTTATAGCTCCTCGGAACTCAAATGAGGATAAAACATAAATATGCATAGAACAGGTAAAATCATGGTGATGTAGGGGGGGATACTACCAGCAAATCAGCACTATGAATCACAGGCAGATTACATTAAGACCCAGCAACCATTTCTTTTGCTTACAGAGGAAGCTTGCTTAGATTTAATATACAGAGTTTCAAGCCTTTTCAAATGGTGATCAAAATGTTCTCTGCAGAAAAATCTATGGTAAAAGATGAAATTTAAATCAAATTACTTATTAGTTGTTTGGCAATTGCAGAACCAGATGTATTGACAAGCATATACAAATTTTCATACTGCCCTCTATGGATCTTAAGTTAGTACATGCTGATCAATTCTCACCTTCAATGAATAGACTAACATAGATGAACTTTGGCATGCAGAAAAATAACACAGTCACACACAGATTTGTCCAGCAAATCTAGTGCTAACCTCATCAAGCAAAGGCAATTGCAAATAGATGGGACACTTTTCTGGACATTACAATTTGTGTTATAAAATTGTACAAAATTGGTATGAATGCTAGATTGCACAATATTAAGAGGATATCCATTTTCAATCAAATCCTTTGTAATAAATTGAATTTCAGAATTTAATTTTGTTTTAGAACCAATAATTAGGATATGATCAAAGTCAATTTTTGTTGTTTAGGACAAAAAGAATCCCAACAAGTGTACAATTCAGTGATGTAGGTTTATGGCACAAAGAAACAGAAAAATAAATTGGTTCTGACTAGTGAACCAACAAATCCAGAAAAGGTCACACATTAACCTTTAACGCTGGGTGTAATTCATTTAACAATCTATGGAAAAAACTCAAACCACTCTTCACTAGGAATTACACAAATAGTATCATCTATATCAAAAATAACACTGACAATTGACATTGTTCAATACAAACAAGCAAATTTTGATCATAAAATATAACAAAAATGTTGGCCATTGCAGGACCCGAAGGACTACCCATAGCAATCCCATTTATTTGTACATCATACTGCCAAGACTAAATTCCACAGAATGGTGGTAAATTTCACAAAATTGGCAAAGACAGTTTCTGAAATTGGAGTGGCAGACAACTGTTAGAATGCATCAGCACATTGATGCTCCCCTTAATAGATCACATGTAAAAAAAAAATTAAAAAAAATAGTGTTATTGAAAGAACATAATTTATTGTTGGATTCTGATGTAATGAATATGCATACACCTGGTTCCCCCTCACAGTAATATGATTGGCTGGTGTCAGCCATAAATACAGACTGATGTGGAGGTACAAGACCATGCCTATTGGCTACCACTATGACAAGGACCAGTCCATTATGGTTACCTGCTAGGTTTTTCTACTCGGTTACAGTAGTCCAAAACCACTTCAAACAAATATATCCCTTTCCAGAACATATCAGATTCAAAAGTACAATTTTGCATAAAGTTAGTAAAAGTAAATGAATCCTTTATGCAACAACAAACTGAATAAATCTCAAGTACCAGTTGCAACACATGAGCCAACCATTTGGCCAAACCTGTACTGCACATAGCCAACTATAGTTAAAATAGATTGTAATTGGATATTGTCCCCATGGGTCTTTGGTAAACCATAAAACTATAGCTGTACAGAACCCAGTAGCTTGACAGCTTCATAAAAGTTTTTGAAATTTTAACTCAATGGCCTTAGTTTTATTATGTGTAACATCTGGTCTGAATTGTGTAAATTTTTCAACATCTAAAATTATCATCATTTTGTTCACGTAGAGACTATCGTTTAATAGTACAATGCCCTTGTCAGGTTTAGTAATGGCAATTGATTTATCATAATGTAAAGATTTAAGAACATAAAAGTATTCATCTCATTAACTTAATTCAACAAAATGAAAACGTGTAGCAGAATAAACAATGGCAAGATCATCAAGTCATTTATAATGTCCGTTTTTAAGATCATAATACATATAATTCTCTTATTTACTTATAGAAAGAATTAAGCTTAAGTGTTGATTATAAAAAAAAACCCCAATGTATTTTCACCAAGAAGGCCAATTATGATTACAGGTATTTACTAAGAATGACTGTCTCTGTGCATGTCTGTGTGCGTATAATTGTTAGTAATAATGTTAGCAATAATTAATAGCAATAATAAAATACTTCACTTACCTTTTATATATCAACCTTGTTTGTAATTGAAGATTGCAATCCTTGTTTGGCTAAATTCAACAACAGTTACTGCTATTGTTGAAATAAAACTTTCATTGATGGATTGAATTCTGGGAGAAACCATGCCCCCCCCCCACCATTTTTAATGAAGTTGTCATAACATTTGTGGTAGATAGTAGAATCATAGTAACTATTGCAATAAGTTCCCCCACCCCAGTTATAGATGGATTAATTTAATATTTTTCCCTTAAAAGTTAATTTAATATTCTTCCCTATGAAAATTTTATTCATAAAACTAATGATCAGATTTAATTATTTTTGCATAATCTGTATTTCTGTTTCTAACAAATGAAAAAAAAGTTGTTGAATTTTTACCATGCTTCTTATACCGATATCATTTGAATTTTACTTGATTTAAAGAATTTATTAATCAGATTTTTTCTAGTCATTCTTTTTACAAATGTTAGTCTCTCCCAAAAAGTAAATTTTAATCTTATGTTTATTTTTTTAACAGAATTTTTAAAAAATCTTTTTTAAACTAAAAAATTTATTTAAAAATACTATTGCTACATAAAGTTAATTTAATATTTATCACTATGTTATTGTTATTTATATATATTTTGATGTTAAAATTTATTTTTTCATGAGTAATCTGTGCTATTTTTCTAAAAGATTTAAAAAAATGTATGTTGAATTATTTTTTAGTTTACCATTAAAAAAGCATAAAATAGCAGTGAATGTAATATTTTTAGATAGTGTAAATATATATGATAAGTATACAAAACATTAACCCTCACCTTGTTGCTAAATCATACATTTTTGAACAGTCAATTTTTTTTAAGTACATCTCTAATCATAAAATATATTTATGACAAAATAAAAACATAACAAGAGTTACTTTGTTTCTAAACAATAAAATAAGTTATTTTTGTGTTTGTTTCAGGTTATATTTTTACTTCCAGAATTCATAGTTCCAATACAAGTTTTATTTCATTAAAAGTTTTAAGATGGATAATTAATTCAAAGATTAAAACACATATCACATTTTGTAGGCACTTAATGGGGTCAGAGGTGAGAGATCCAAAAATCTGTCAAATAAGATATTAATTCTAATAAGAAGTTAGAAAATAAAAAATAAAGCATAAGGATTAACATTTTAAGCCAACTTAATTAGGCTTTTAATTTCTACATTTTTTTTTTAATTTCTTAAGTCAACTACAGCAGTAAACTAAACTGCTAACCTAAAACAAATATCTTCACTCTCAGCAGAAATATGAGATTTGAGATGGGTTTCCAGTTCTGTCTGTTGGATTCACTATGATTTGGCTTGAAGTAAAGGACACTATGATTCAGTTATCAATGTTTTCATTTGGGCTGTTTGATTTTCAATTCCTCTCAAAATGTTTTTTCAAAAGTCTGGTGAATATTTTTCTTCCACTAATGGCACAAGATTTTATGCTTTACAACTAAAAGCAAGAAAAAGGCCATAAAAATGTGAAAACAAAAAAAAACCAAAAAATAAAAAAGAAACAAAAAAACAAAAACAACATCAGATCAACAAAAACTTCTTTTCTCCTTTTTGAAGCAATTGAATATTATCACCAAAGATAATAAATAATGTATTGAATCATAATCAAGACTGAGAAGACATCTTATCAACACTTGTAGCAGGAGACGTAATTAATATTTAAAAAAACATTTTTCTAACAGTCTTCTGGTTGCTGAGAACATTAAATTTTTAAAGGAATAACATAGTTTTAATTAAATCCGGACATGTATTTTTCTTTTCGATCTTGTAAAACGAATAAATGGACATGATTAAGTCATAATTAATGTTTTTGCTAATGAATTGTCTATAAAGAGAAAAAAGTCATTCACCGACTTAAATGACTTTCTTTTGCATTTGTTATTTTTAGCACTGAGTTGCATTTTGCATTTGACTGTCAAAAGTTGAAGTACATATAATAAGGACATGGAAAAGGGGGGGATGTTTATTATGGATGTAGAAACTGATGATTAGATAAATAATTACAATTCCCAAGAGATGATTATTATTATTATTATTATTATTATGACTATTAAAGTCTCAAACTAATCAATCCATCTTCTCCAAAAGATGAAACACTTGTTGGTAGTTCTTTGTGCTGAGAGTTAGATTAATGCAGAAGACCCGTACAGACATCTCAATGCAGCTAAACAGTGTTATAAGTGGTGCATCAAGCATCGTTATTAATCACTGCTCATAGCTGTTTATATACCAATACTTCCGCTAGAACACATTGATTATGCAATGAGAAATTACTTTACTAACCAATTAATGATTCTATTTTTATTAGGAAACTGTGCCATTTAAAACTTTTGTAA